AGGGCTCAAAATGTGATAAAATAAGACTAAGTCTCGAAGCCCCATCTTTTTGTTCAGGTGCAAAGTCGCAAATGCGACATATGGTGCGCAAATGCTACCCCTCACAAATGCAACCAAATGATTGTAAATACGATGCCTGCTAAGCCTAGGAACTACACATTGGTATACCATGATTACTGTTGAATCATAGTATTCTCATATTCTTGGTATACTACACAATAGTATTATCAAGAATAGTGTTAAATTATGGTATACTTTATTTGAGTATGTTAAGTGATATACCTAATATTCTTGGTATACTACACATTGGTATACCATGATTACTGTTGAATCATTGTATTATTACATTCTTGGTATACTATATATTGGTAAACTATGATTAGTGTAGTATACCAAATTCTACGATTCCCCGTTTTAACTAAAGAACAAAAAGGTGAAGAGTGACAAATTCTTTGTTATAAAAAATCTTAAATTTCTTAGAAACTAAAAAAGTCATTTACCAATACAAAATTAAAAATTCAAAAAAATAAAATAAATAAGAGTGATACAATAATTCTTGTTATTTTAACGATTAATAATTGTAAAGAAGGCGTCCCAATACTAACTTTATGAATCGATTATTTATTTACAAAGAAAAAAAATAAAAATAAAGTAGAAAAAAGTGATAAAATTTAGATTGCAACCGGTAGAAATTTAATTTATTGATAACTCGGTGGTAATAGGAAATTGTGAAGAAAGCCTCTTAACTGTTACTTTAGTAGAGCAATTTAATAGCTTTTCCCTAGTTGACTTACTAGTTGGACTTCAATATCTATCAGTAGAAATGGGTCTAAGATTTTTCAAATTTTCTTTGCCAATGGCCTCACCCTGTTTGCCAAAGCTAACAGGAAGAACTTTGAAATCATCATCAGAACACTAAACTCTTTCAACTCTGTTTCTGGCCAAAAGGTTAACATGATCAAGTCAAAAATGATCTACTCCAAAAATACCACCAAGAAAGACATGGACCTCTTTTACAGCATACTAGGCATTAAGTCCAATATCAACTTTGGTAAATAGCCGGGCTTTCTATCTTTCACAAAAGACCTACTCATAGGGATTTTCAGTTCATAATTGATAGTATGAACTCCAAGCTGGCTGGCTGGAAAACAAGGTTCCTAAACATGGCAGGCGTACAACCTTAGCAAAAGATAGCATTGCTAGTAATCCCAGCCATGTCATGCATTTCATCATGCTCCCCATCTCTACATGCAAAACGATAAATAAAATTCAAAGGGACTTCATCTGGGGGACTATTGCTAAAAAAAGGAAAATGCACATGATCAGCAGTTGGGATGTCATTACTAGACCCAAGCCCTAGGAGGGCCTTGGTATCCAAAAAACTGAGCTAAAAAATAAGGCTTGTCACTGAGACCTTGCATGGAGGCTTTTCCATAAGCGTGATACATTATGGGCCAAAACACTCATTGCTAAGCACTGCAACTCAAATACCAATAGAAGGAAGCCTTCTTCTATAACTTGGCAGTGCATCCTTGAGGGCTGGAAAATCTGCAACAAAGCCTTTAGGTAGGTTGTCAACAAAGGTAATAGAGTGAACTTCCTCACTAACAGTTGAATCCCAAACATGGGGCCCATTGATATCTTTATCAGTGGGCCAAAGTTGAATGGAGTAGATAACTTAAAGATATCCTCCATATATAACAATGGGACCTGGAACATAGAGCACCTGTCCTTTCGCATTCCTGAGTTCCAGTCTTTTACCATCAACAAACCCTCCTTAATCATACCTCAGAGAGAGAGAGAGAGAGGACAAACTCATCTGGGGCTCACTAATAATGACATATTCTCTTCTAAGTCAGCTTACTCGGCCTCCTACACTCACAGTGGAATACACTCTGACTAGGAGCCCACCTTCAGCTAGATCTGAAAACTAGAAGCTCCTAATAAGATTAGATTTTTTACATGGTTACTAGCCCAAACAGACTGCCCACCAATAAGTATCTCCACAACATTGGCCTTCAACGGAGTCCTTCCTGTTCAGTGTGTAACAATCTAGAGGAATCCATAAATCACACTTTTTTCCTATTTGCCAATGCCAAAATAATTTGGAATTACCTTTGCTATATTCTACAAATCAGTCACTACCATGACCACTGCATTTCATGCCTTATTCTTGGAATACAACATGGAACATGCTAAAAGACAAAGCTTTCAATGATGGCATCCAATGGCACTTCCTTTTACCCTTCTGCTTCTGCAATATTTGGTTTACCAGAAATAACAACCTGTTTAACAATAAAAAAGAGCATGTTCAAACTAATACTATTATTGTTAAAGCTAATACCACCTACTGACTAGGAACAAACCTTAAAAGCAATGGGTTACTATAAGTGTCAAATGAGAACCACCTGACAGAGGCTCCTACAAGCTAAATACTGATAGCTCCTACTTTGGTAACCCAGGGGTAGGGGGCATAGGGGAGTCTTTAGAAACCACTTGGGCTACTGGATCATTGGTTACATGAAAGGTTTCCCTTTCACCAGTAACAATCTAGCTGAGCTCAATGCCCTCTTCAAAAGGCTAAAGCTAGCGGTTCATCAAAACCTCACCCCTTGATCATAAACACAGACTCATAGAAAATCATTAGAATGTTAAATGATGGCCACTTGCCTTATGACCCTATTATTTGTGAATGCAGGTCCTTGATAACACAGCTGGGATATTCAGTCATCAAGCATAATTTCAGGGAACGGAATCAGGTGGCAGACATCCTAGCAAAGGAAGGAGCAAGAAAAAGCTTTTTGATAGAACTAAGTTTTTGGCAATTCCTCCAATCTTTGCTAATGATGCACTATGGGTAGAGATCCTAGGAACTACATTCAGTAGAAAAATATTGGTATGTAATATTACTAACACTGTTGCACACAATGCTGGCCACCTGGGCAGCCACTCTAACATGCTAGCTCTGTAATTATTTTTGTTAATAAAGTATATGTGGTTAATAAAACAAAATAGCTTTTCCCTCTGTTCATCGCCGCAACCGGTAGAAAACGAGGCAACTTGCCTTTCTTCTTTTCCCAATGAGATTCACGTTTGTTATTGACCTTTCGCAACAAGTATTAGCACTTAAATATTCTCAAAGGCCATATTCAATATAAGCAATGTCGGCAGGACCACTAAATATATCAATTTAGTGAGAATGAAACAAATAGGATATAATTAAGCCCACATTAATATTTTAATATCGATAATAAAAATTTCGTGAAAATTTTTTTGTTAAAATTTTAAAGTATGCTGAGTAGGATTTTTGTTAACGGTCAGAATTTTAGAGTACGCTGGTAAAATTTTAAAGCTTGCAGCAATTATGGTGATCTTAAGGATTTTATCATAAAATACTGACAGATCACTAGAATTTTTCAGATGAAATTCTGGTGATAGTTACAATTTTATGATAGAATTTAGACGATCATCATATTGCTACTTGTGACCAAGAAAACTTTTGCCCCAGCATGCTTTAAACATCTGGCGCGGGATTATATTAAAAAAAGCCCATTCAACGTCATTTTAGGCCCAATATACTATCTTCTCCCTCTTAAAACAACTTCATGCGACTGTAAAATAAAGTAATGGGCAAATGTTGTGATAGGATTGATAAGATAACTTTACCCTTAATCAGAGTTTTGTGTTCGATTTTAGGAATAAAAAAATTTCTGATAGAAAACGCTTCCTCGTTTAATGGGTAGTGTGAATCCGGACCAGTTAAGGCGCTAAAACGAATATCCAGGGGCGGCTCAGTACTATTGGGGGCCTAAAGTAAACTTTAATGAGAGGCCTTAAAAAAATCTCAAATATATATATATATATATGCTCAGTACTATTGGGGGCCTAAAACAAACTTTATGAGAGGCCAAAAATCTCAAAAATGAATATATATATATATATAAAATGAATCTATTTTTCTAACTTTTTGAGATGCAAAGTTATGAAAAATTATTTTATAATCTATTTCTTCTAATATTTCTTTTTCAATTGATAATATAGCTAGTCCATTCAATCTCTCCCGAGACATTATTGATCTTAAATAAGATTTTATCAATTTTAATTTTGAAAAACTTCTTTCCGCTGAGGCAACTTACAGGAACTGTTAACATTATTCTATAAACAATCTAGGCATTTTGTTAAAGAATCAAGTCTTTCTATCTGATTGAGTATATCGATTATAAATTGTAATATTATCATCTACTTGTACAATTTCACTTAACACTATTAATTCAGAAAATAAGTCTAACTCGTCAATATCACATACTATAAACTATAGCTTTTCTAGAATAATATTGTGAGATGACTTTCTTGGAAGAACAAAGAAAATATAACTGTATAATTGTAACTTTGTGAGAAATATATAAAAAGAGAGATCTCAGTATTGTAAAACATAAACCGAGAAGGAAGAGGAAAGGTCAAGTTGGGAGAAATTAACAAAAAAAAAATGAATAATTGTGATGATTTCTTCCAAAATTTGCATTTTCAACGTCACCTTAATTGATTTTTGGGGCCCACTTTTTTGGTCAAAGGTTCTTAGTAGTATATCTTTCCTTTTACAATAATGCATGTATGCGCTGTTTTTAAACAAATCTCATATTGTTTTTCTAAAAATAAATATAAGTTTATGATTCTATAGGTACAAGTGGAGCCCCCAAAAATTAGGGGCTTTAAGCCTAGGCTTTATTGGCTTTACCCAATAGCCGCCCGTGCGAATACCGAACATTAAGTCAGAAACGAAATATAACAAAGCAATATTTTAGTTTTGCTCTCACTTGAATAATCAGCGGTCTCCCTTTTTCTTTCCTCCATTGCGAATCATTGTGAATAGTTGGAAAAAAAAACATCATTGTCAACAGCTTTACAAGGTGGCTTTTTCAAACTTTCTTAAAATCTCTCACTTGAAAATGGATCCACTCAAACATAAAAATGTCTTTATAGCTAATGATGATCAGAGGGCGTAAGAAAAACGTATAGAGTTCTCATTTATTTGATCTATTACTCATCATGTTACAATAACACTGGAGAAGAAACAGAAAAGATAAACAAAATATTACAAACCTATACTTAAACTTATTCAATGCTAGTGCAAAATTTCAGTGTTAATCAAGACGCGACACAAGGAGTAGCAATCAAGTAAAGATCTTTCTCTCTTCTAGCAGATATTCCATTTGCCTCAGTCATGTCCAAATCCCTTGCATTAATTCCTTCGGGAAGTTTCCAATCAAAGTTGTGAAGCAAATGTGCCAATGGCAGAGTAACAAGAGCCATACCAAATTGTATTCCTGGACAAATTCGTCTTCCCGCGCCAAAGGGAAGAAGTTGAAAATGATTTCCAGTAAACTCAATAGAACTATTTTCGAATCTCTCTGGTATAAAACATTCAGGATTTCCCCAATTCTCGGGATCTCTTCCAATTGCCCATACGTTAACCAAGACTTTGCTTTTCAACGGTATAGTGAATCCATCAATCTCTGTTTCCTCCCTGCATTCTCGCGGGACAAGTAGAGGAGTTGGAGGGTGTAATCGGAGTGTCTCTTTGATCACTAAATTTAGGTAACTAAGCTTTTCAAGATCAGTATCCTCATCACATGTTTTCTTTCCTTTAAAAGCTTCTCTCACTTCTGCTTGTGCTTTCGCCATTACACTTGGATTCTTTATCATTTCTGCTAATGCCCAAATAACGGTTGAAGATGATGTGTCAGACCCTGCTACGAACATGTCCTGCACCATGTATGGTCGTCAATTTTGATATTTTGTAAAATAAAAAAAAGACAAAGGGAAAAATGAAATACACTTACAAGAATAACTGCTTTGATGTTATCATTTTCTAGAGGAAATGGTAATTCGCCGCTCTCCATGACTCTTTGAAAAACATCGATGAAATCTTCAGCTCCGGACTCACCATTACAACATTTTCCATTTGCCCGATTCTCTCTGTGCACATTGATAATGTTGTCCAAGACCACGTCTATCTTATTACGAGCTTCCATTAGTTTAGACCGCATCCCACTAATACCATGTAGAAACTTTTTCGAAGGGAACAAATCAGCCAGCTCGAATCCACCAGATAATGATTGTGCTCGATGAATCAATGTTATCAACTCTTTTTGATCTTTACACACTTTCCCAAATGCTGACCTACATGTCGCGGCATTCATAAACCATAAAAGTTTTTCTACTAAGTTGATTGGCAAATCTCCCATTGATTCAATGGATGATAGGAGACTTGAGAGCTCATCACGTCGAATTGGACTGAAGGACTTCACCATCTTGGCACTAAGTAGTTCCAAGGTGCTCAGTTTACGCATATGTCTCCAATAATCACCATATGGGGAAAAGGCAATGTCCTTACAATCGTAACAAATAATTTTTCCCATCATGATTTCTGGCCTAGATGCAAAAGCGAGGTCGTGAGTTTTTAAAATTTGTTTGGCCATGTGTGGGGAGGATACAACTACTGTTGGAACTTCCCCGAGCTGTAAGTACATGATTGGGCCAAACTTTTGTGATAAATTTCTGAGAACTCGATGTGATACTCCACTTGTCAAGTGATGCACACTTCCAATAATAGGTAGCCTCCACGGACCAGGTGGAAGCCTTTTCGATTTCCTCCATTTTTGAATCAGAAGAAAGATGAAGGAGATGAATAGCAAGAACGAAACCAAGTGTTGAAACTCCATCTCAGTACAAGAAAGAAAGGTAATTCGACTTGATGGGTTTTCTGTTTTGAAATATCGTTTACTTATATAGAGGGTGGACACATACTTCCGAAAGCCAAAAATTGTAGTTGAGTTTCCAGGTTTGACCAATAAACGAAAATAGAGCATCTGCAGCCCGCATGTTAGATAAATTGAACCACTTGGGACAAATAGCCACCTCCTATTTTGTTGTGTTTACGTGTCTGCGTAATCCTAGTCGTCATGGTGGATTCCTTTATAAAGAAAAAAAAAATCTAGAACCACTTGAGATGTTGAATTTTCTCGTGAAGGGAAATGCATAATTTACTGTTCTTGATCTTAATTGGTCCAAAAGTTTATCGTCACCTTTTAGATGGAAATCATATATATACATATTTCATACCATGTATTTTAATTTAATATAGCAGGTAAACTATCAGTCTTATTTTTCAAGCTATTAGTCTCACTTTTTAGGGAGAATTTCAAAAATAGCTAGATTTACAAGTAGTCATTCAAAAATAGTCACAATATCATAAGTCATCAAAATTTAGCCACTTTTCATCCAAAGATAAATCTGAACGAAAACACTGTTCAAAATACGGAAAATACTCCAGCATAATATACTGAAATTCCAATATAATATACTGGAACTCCAGTATAATATACTGGGTTCCAGTATATTATACTAGAGCTAGCAAAGTATACCGGTCCAGTATAATATGCTGGAAGTTCATACATAGGTGCACCGAACTCCAGTATATTATGCTAGACCGGTCTATGTTGCAGTAAAATAGTGGCTATTTTTTATTAACTTGACAAACGCTGATTATTTTTGAATGATCAGTCCGTTTGGTGTGAGAAAGTTAAAATCTTTTACTTATTAGGCGCATATTAACTTTTATTTTTTTCTATTTTTCTTTTTCATTTGGAAAGTGAGGCGAATAATATTCTTTTGAAGGTCGTTGTAATCCTTTTTTCAATTTAGTACTAATAATTTCTAATCAAAAGTAGTTTATATGCAGTGTTTGCCAATGAGAGTGTTTACCTTAAAAATGATAATTACAATTAAATTTGACTTTGTGGTTCTAAAAATACGTGATTTATTTTAATGCTAGTTGTTAAGCGATAGATGCTAAGTGTAAGTTAGGGGAATGAGATAAGAGCTCAAGGACAGTATGTTATGCAAACCGAATAGCCGTAAATCGGGGTCTCGAGCTGGCCTACGCTGGGCCTCGAGGTCGAGCTAAAGTGCCTCAATGGGATGGTCGATGAAGAACTAACAGTTCTGAAGTCCTTGATGGTGGCTTTTTATGATCAATGATGAGTAATAAATGAAGAACAATCAATAAAACACAATAAATGTAAGCAATAAAATCAAGTGAGCAATCGCAAAATATGTTTAAGTTGAGGAGCAGAGAATGTTCTTATTCTTGTATTGAATACCATGTGTCTTACAAAATGATAAGGGTCCCCTTTATATAGGAGGGAGAATCTCAACATAGTATAAGTGCATTTATTACAAAGATGTACGAGTGGTACAACCATTTAATGTCACGGTATGGACTTATACTATTCTTGTAGACCTGATCAGCTCTAACCACGTGCCTTGGGAATTTTCCACTTGTTCATCATATCCACTGATTTGCACTGCCACGAGGTCGAACATAGGGAAACCTCGGGGTCGAACCTCGAGCTGTGCTTTGAGCCTTCTAGAGACGGGCTATGGAGTGTCATAATGATTATAAAATTGGACTCTCTGATTTTAGCCTTATACAGATACTCCCTGCGTTTCTTAGAGTAAAAATGATAAGAAACAGTGTTGAATTCTTGCCTCTTCGATACTTCCATCATGACGTCAGCCCGTCAGAGCATTAAATGACATGACTCAAAGACTGCGCAGATGTCGCTATCAGCACGATTATCGAGAAGCCCACGAACCATTATTGGTTCGACTCTTCCGCTTCTCAAACGTTGCCCAAACGTCTTCTATAAATACCTCAACTATTTGTCATTCATACTTATATCTTCAAGTTTTCAGAGCTAAGTTAACCATCTTCTGCATTCATCTCCTCTTTATGCTTGCCTCTTCATTTTCTTTCTTAGAAACAATGTTATAGTTATGGCTAAAACCTCCAAAACGGTACCTCAGAAAGAGGGCACCACTTCTTCATCACGCCCGTCAAAGGGCAAACCAAAAACACCAATGTATACGGCAAAAATCGGTGGTCCGATTTTACGGTCACCAAGGTTCCTCGAAGATACTGCCTCCCGAAGGCTTGAAGCTTAGCTCGGGGCTCCGGCCTCAAGAGTTCTCAGTAATCTATTTCAAGGTAGCGTAAGCAATGGTCAGCCTCGAGGCAGGGTAAATCAGTGGCGTCGGTGGATCAGTGTGAGGTTCCCAAGGCACGTGACTAGAGCTGACAAAGTCTATTAGGCTAGTCCAAACCCGTACCATGACATTAAAATGGTTGTACTAGCCCCATATCTTTGGAATAAATGCATTTGTATTATGTTGGGATTCCCCCTCATAAATAAAAGGGATCCTTTGCATTTTGTGGATATCAGATATTCAATATTAAACACATAAGAACATTCTCTTTGCTCTCTAACATATTCTCTTGATCTCATTACTTCCATGTATTGCTTATAATTATTGTGCTTTATTTATTATTCTTCATTTATTGCTTATCATTGATCTTAAAGAGCCATCATCGTAACTCTCATAACTGTTAGTCCTCTCTTGATCGCTCTAAGCCGGCCACCTAACTCGACCTTGAGGCCCCAATCTCAAGTCGTGTGGTTTGATTATTACATCGTCTCTAAGCTATAATCTTGCTTTCTAATCTTTTATTCAACATCCATTGCCTAACAGCTAGTATAAAAATAGATCACGTATTTTTAGAACCACAAAATCAAATTTAATTATTATGACCATTTTCACGGTAAATAGTTTGGCGCCCACTGTGGGGCTAAAAATAATAGTGATTATTTTCTTGCTGGTTTAACTACATAATCCAAGTTACCTTTCACACTTTTTCTTGTCCAAGGATCTTTGATTTCAGGTCAAAATGTCTAACTCAGTAAATGCACATGAGAACAACAATCTTGAAGACCACGGAGAAAACAGTGTGGATGTTCCGGGTGTTGGTGTACTACCACGAAACATTGAGAATGAACCAGAACCAATTCCCGTGGACACGGTCTCACGCGATGCCCAACACGTCGATATAAGCTCCCACACTAACATGAGCGTACGTCAAGGAGATCAACAAGAGGTCTAAAAAACCCCAGCTCGAGAGGAACAAGAGGTTAGCCTTCACGTTATTTTTGAGATGTTGCAAGCACAATAGCTGGCAATTGCTCAGCTGCAGAGCCACCAAAAAACCCCAAGTACAGCAGCCCCGAGAACAGCCCCTCGGACCGAACAAGCACCAAAAAGATCAAGTAACAACGGGTTGGCATCCGCCCCGCCATCGTAAAGATGCTCGAGGACCTCATAAAGAGAATCGAGTCGGGTGAGAAAAAGATAGAAGCCAATGATAAGAAGGTCGAGACCTACAATTCCAGGGTCGACCAAATTCCGGGCGCACCCTTGATTCTGAAGAGTGTGGATTCAAAGAAGTTCGATCAGAGGCTGTTCTCGCAAGAAGCAGCTCCAAAACCCATTCCAAAGAAGTTTAGGATGCCAGACTTTCCAAAGTACAACGAAACCTCGGACCCCAATGAACACGTCACTACTTACACTTGTGTAGTGAAGGGCAACGACCTAAAGGACGACGAGATCGAATCCATCCTACTGAAAAAGTTCAGAGAAATGCTTTCAAAAGGGGCGATGATGTGGTATCACAACCTGGCCCAAAACTCAATAGATTCATTTGCCATGGTGGCAGATTCTTTCATAAAGGCACATGCTGGTGCCATCAAAGTAGCTAAAAGGAAATCCGACGTCTTCAAGATCAAGTAGAGGGAGAATGAGATGCTGCAAGAGTTCGTATCTCGCTTCCAAATGGAACGAATGGAACTACCACCAGTTTCCGATGATTGGGCAGTGTAGGCCTTCACTCAAGGTTTGAACGAACGAAGCTCGGTGGCTTCGAAATAGTTGAAGCATAATTTGGTTGAATACCCCGCCGTGACTTGGTCGGATGTTCACAACCGATATCAATCGAAAATCAGGGTCGAGGATGACCAATTAGGATCTCCCTCGGGCTCGGTATATCCAAGCAGGCTTCTGGCAAAGGAGCCAAAGCCAAAGAAAGAAAGGTACCAGCCATACACCGAAGACAGGAGAAACGCCCCGAGGCGTAACATACCCTGAAATGATCGAAGAACGGACCGAGGGCAGAACCCTCGGGGACTCGTCAGTAGAGCCGGGTTCGATAGGCATGCAGGACCGACGGAGGCACCCCGCTTGTCATAATACAACTTCAACATCAATATTTCAGATATCGTGTTCGCCATTAGTGAAATCAGAGACACGAGGTGGCCAAGGCCTGTACAATCAGATCCTTCGCAATGGAACCATAACTTAGTATGTGAATTTCACAACACATACGGTCACAGGACCGAAGATTGCCGGCAACTCCGGGAAGAGGTAGCCCGACTACTCAGCAAAGGTCAACTCCGGGAATTCCTTAGCGACCGAGCCAAAAATCAGTTCCGAGAAAGAGAGGCAATAAAAAAGAATGAAGTAGATGAGCCGCAACATGTTATCCACATGATTATGGGAGGGGTCGACACCCCACAAGAACTCACTATCTGAAGAACGAAAATATCCATCACCAGAAAAAAGTGAACTCGAAGTTACAAAGCATACGTTGCACTCTTTTCCTTTGACTGAGTTTATATCCCGAAAAGGGTTTTACCGGCAAGGTTTTTAACGAGGTAACATCTATATGCTATCTAAGGAAAACTAAACAAGTATTCAAGGCTTCTTTTTCAATCAACCTCGAATAATGGGGGGCATCCCCCCGGAAGGTCACCTACTCGGAGAAGCCAAGGTGCGCTAAATGGGGTCTCGATAGAAAAATAATGTAACGGGCCAAACGATCGAACGAACCGTGTCCGTATAGAA